ACACACCTGAGATGAGCAGACGCGCAGACACACCTAAGACGAGTAGACTCACATACACAGCTGACACACCTGAGATGAGCAGACGCGCAGACACACCTAAGACGAGTAGACACACAGACACAGCTGACACACCTGAGATGAGCAGACGCGCAGACACACCTAAGACGAGTAGACACACAGACACAGCTGACACACCTGAGATGAGCAGACGCGCAGACACACCTGAGATGAGCAGACGCCCAGACACAGCTGACACACCTGAGATGAGCAGACGCAGCATATGCACAGACACAACAGACACCTGAGACAAGCAAATACAACACACCTGAGATGCACAGACACAGCACACACGCAGACATACACCTGAGACCAGCAAATGCGAGACACACCTGAGATTAGCAGTCACAGCAGACATGCAGACACAACAGAAGCACAGACACAGGAAACATACACCTGAAACGGGCAGACTTAGCAGACACATACCTGACATAAGCAAATACAGCAGTCACAAACGTGAGATGAGCAAACAGAGCAGTTGTACCTGAGAAGCGCAGACACAGCAGATGCATCTGAGACAAGCTCTGTGATTCTAAGGGGGTGAGGGACTTTCGACCTCCACAGTCCTTTCTCCTGCCTGTCCTCCTGGTCGCCTCTCTCTCTTGTCTTTCTCTCCCCCCTCCAATTCATCTTACCGTGGCCCTTTCTTGCTCTCCATCAATCTCGCCCCTCCCCTCGCCCTCCGTCCCTGTTGCCCCCACCCTTCTCAGGCACACACTTTATCTCTTTCTCCATGCGTTGAGCCAGCTGTTATTTAATTACAAAATTAATAGCATCGGATTTCACATCAAAGCCTTAAAAGAGCAGTGAGTCGCTCCTCCGGTCCTGACCACCAGGCTGATGAATGGCGCTTTATGTGAAACGTAACAGTATCCGCTGGGGCTGCCAATGTAGCTCCAGCCTTCACAGGTGTACCAGTCCCATAGAGTCAAGTCAGCATTTCACTGGTGTCCGGGTTGCTTCTTACAGCTCCTGCTTTTGCTGCTTTATTTTCTTGCTTCACATGTTAATGTATGTTATTTGTGTCAACTGTAATTTTATAGAACAATTATAGTGTTATGAAAGTGCCAGAAATGGTGGTTTAGGACTTAGCGATAAGGATCATTATATCTACCTTTATTTTGCTTGGCACTTTCATCCAAAACAACATACAATAAGGATCAGTGAGTAATCAGCCAGCACTCCTGGAGCAGCTGTGGATAGAGGCCTTGTTTATGAGCTCATTAGTAATATGATTATGCTGCCAGCCATGTGATTTAAACTCAGAACATTCTGGACCAGAGCATAGATCCCTAACCTGCTGAGCTCCCCATGCCCACTGATGGGGCAGCTCCCAGTTCAGCCAGTCATGTCATTACGATGACGGTTTGTCTATAAGGCATCTGTTTTCGCTGTTTCCTGGACAGGTACTCCAGTAAAGGCTGGGTCTTAGACCAGACCAGCATCTTCGCCCAGGTCGACGCCTTTGTGCAACGCTGCAAAGTCCTGCTGGAGGTGAGCCGTCCTCGTGAGCTTGGGCTACGTTTTGAGAGCTGAGCCTTTCTGCGCTAATGCATTGCAGAGATACTCGTGTCTTTGAGCAGCCCTGCACTCCACAGCACAGCTGATGGTAGTTAGCAAACACAATGCAGCCGCTTTGTTCATTGTCTTATTGCATATTTTTGAAAGCCGCCACGCTCTTGTTTGGCATGCTCTGTCCCCCCTCGCTCTCCGTGGCATCCTGGCCATGCCCTCACCACTCCACCAGGTGTGCAGCTGCCAGCAGCAGTTTGCCCGGCGCCAGGAGGGTGCCCAACTCCCCGTGCCCTGCTTCGCGGGCCGCCAGGGATTCGAGCTGACGCGCAGACTGCTGGAAATTGAGGCAGCCTTCGGCAGAAGCTTGCAGGCCCTTCGTGGCGCGGGCAAGGCCATCCTGGACGTCAAGAACACATCTTGGCATGATGACCACAACCGGTTTGTGCCCCCCCCCCCTCCTCCACAGGCACCAGGGAGCCAGTAATGATTTCACTTGCTGGGCAGAGGAATTACTGCACTTTATAGGAAACACATTAGCAAAGCCACTTAAACTTTAAACTTTAAATTTTACAATGCATGCATGATGGAGTTACCGAGGCACTGCTCTGTAGCTGTGCTTTGTGACTGTGAGGATTCTGTCTGGCTGGGACCTTCGGGGCTTCTGGCTCAGCGTAGCCTCCAGGTCAGCGATCGACAGCTTTTGAAATGGGCGATTTAACTCATTTAAATGAAGTAATGAAGATCCATAGGGAGCAGGACAGCTGATGTGGTTGGCTTCCCTGCTGGACAGATGCTGCCCACCTCTCAGTGGCCCAGAGGGGGAGGGGCAGAGCAGGGGGCTGGCAGTGTCTTTTTGATCTCCGTGATGGATTGGAGTCATGGGGGGTGGTGTGCTGAGACAGCTGAGCTTTTGTCTGTGTGTGTGTGTGTGTGTGTGTGTGTCTAAGGAGAACACTGTGCCTGCCCCACATTCCCGTCACCGTGTGTTTGGTTTAGCTATCCTGCTGCACATGCCTTCTTCCAGCATGCGGCCATACCCTCTGTACACCCGCCACCTGCCTCCCGTGTATCCTGCCACTCTCCCTTCTTACACAGTTTCCGGGCAGCGGTGAAGGACCTTGAGGTGATGATGCAGGACCTGATCAACACGGGCTTCGAGACAGTCAGATCAGTAGAGGAAGGGGTCTGGCTGCTTGACGTGTTCCAGGACCTGGCTGACCGAGAGGTCTGACCCGATACACAACATGGCACACAACCTGCACAGTCTGCAGTCACTAACATAAGGCTTAGGGTTAGGGTGACCACTTGCATTTATTAGGGCATCTTTGTCATTCATATACAACCCCAATTCCAAAAAAAATTGAGACGTTGTATAAAATGTAAATAAAAACATAATTCAGTGATGTGCAAATTATATAAACCCATATTTTATTGAAAACAGAACAGAGACAACATAGCAAATGTTGAAACTGAGAAGTTTTATTGTTTTATGGCAAATTTATGCTCAATTTGAATTTGATGCCAGCAACACATTTCACACAAGTTGGGACAGGGGCAACAAAAGACTAGAAGAGTGTAATGCTAAAATATGACACCTGGTTGATTATCTCACAACTAATTAGGTTAATTGGCAACAGGTCAGCAAGATGATTGGGGATAAAAAGAGCCTTCCAGAGAGGCAGAGTCTCTGTGTAGTGCAGGTAGGGAGAGATTCACCACTAGGTGAAAGACTGCATTGGGCAAATCATGCAACTATTCAAGAACAATGTTCCTCAATTTAATATTGCAAAGAATTTGGAAATTTCATCATCATTCATCATTCATAAGTAATATCATTCCGAAGAAATCTCTGTACATAAGGAACAAGGCCAAAAACCAATACTGGATGACCATGATCTTTGGGTCCTCAGGCAGCACTGCATTAAAAACAGACACGATTCTATAGTGAGAATCACTGCATGGGCTCAGGAACACTTCCTAAAACCATTGTCTGAGCACAGTTTGTCGCGGCATCTAGAAATGCAGGATGAAACTCTGCCACACAAAGAAGAAACCATATCTGAACATGATCCACAAACGCCACCGACTTCTCCGGACCCGAACTCATTCTTTTTGGAAATCATGGACACCACGTCCTCTGGGATAAAGAGGAGAGGGACCATCCAGCTTGTTATCAGCGGACAGTTCAAAAGCCAGCATCCATGACGGTATGGGGGTGCATTAGTGCCCATGGCTTGGGTAGCTTGCACATTAATGCTAAAGAATATATACAAGTTTTGGAGCAACATATGCTGCCATCTAAACATCTTTTTCAGAGAAGGCCTTGTATATTTCAGCAAGACAATGCCTGACTGCATTCTGCACATATTACAACAGCATGACTCCATAGTAGAAGAGTCTGGGTGCTAGACTGGCCTGCCTGCAGTCCAGACCTGTCACCCACGGACAACATTTGGTGCATCATGAAACAAAAAATATGACAAAGGAGACCCTGAACTGCTGAGCAGTTGAAATCCTATATCAGGCAAGAATGGGACAACATTTCACTTTCGAAACTCCAGCAACTGGCCTCCTCAGTTCCCAAATGTTTACAGAGTGTCGTTCAAAGAAGAGCTGATGCGACACAGTGGTAAATGTGCCCCTGTGCCAACTTTTTTTAAACATGTTGCTGGCAACAAATTCAAATTGAGCATATTTTTTGTCATAAAACAATACATTCAGTTTCAGCAATTGATATGTTGTGTTTGTTCTATTTTCAGTTGAAAATGGGTTTTAAATGATTTGTAAATTATTGCATTGTGTTTTTATTTACATTTTACACAGCATCCCAGCTTTTTTGGAAATCGGATTGTACATGTAGGGTTCAGGTGGTCACTTACACTCTTTAGGAGTTATAGTTGATCCTGAAGTGTCTCATCTTCTCCTGTGATCCATCAATCCATTTCTCAGTCTGAGTATCAGTTATAGCACATCCTGTTGTAGGGACATGCACTGCCTGAGTATATAATATAGCAGCCAGAACCTTCCCCACCTAGGCCATCAAGCGTACTATCGACAGGAAGACAGAAGATGTGTACAGCCTCTTCAGCAAGGAGCTGTACTTGGTGAACGAGGAGCTGAGCGGTAGGGAGGTGCAGAGAGCGGCCCACATGCCCCAGCACGCCGGCCGGGCATGCTTGGCACGCTGCCTGCGGCGACGCATCGGGAGGCCAGCGGAGGTAGGCGACCTGTACAACATCATCACGGGGAGCTATGACATAAATATAAAGGAAGATATAGCAAGGAAATCTGTTTAACATTTTGTTTCATTATAGAAAATATAGAAGAAATTATTTCATGGAAATATGGCAGAAATATATGAAACTGAAACATAATACAAATGGATAATAGAAGTAAAGATTATTAATGTATGAGATGAACACATAAATGGGCATGTCTCATTGAGAATGGCAGCTGTGAAAGACAACACAGAGCAAATATGGAGCAAGCCTGAATGGAAGACATTTCCTCCTTTTATTTGTTCCGTTTGAGTGTTTTCACCGACTTGCAGCATGAAGAAGATAAACACTTCAACATCTCTAACAAACATACATATTAAATGAATATTGCATTTGATCACAAAGTCTAGCAAGACAACAGAGACCACACTGTTACCCACAGTATCCTCTAGCTGCGATGTTTCTTTGATTGACAGTTTATTAGTCTTGATTTCTGAAACCGTCCAAGTGCTACGTCTGGCAGCTGCCATTTTCGCTAATTAGCTACGATAAGATAATTAAAGGGCTTTGTTTACCAAAACAGAAGCTTCAGACGGCTGGCGTCAGCTTGCCAGAGCAGTGCTGATAATCTGGCGAATATGTTTGACCGACAGTGTTGTGACACCTCGGAACACCTCCCACAATGCCTCGGTAGAGAAGGCTCCATGGGCTGTCCTTGGCCATGGCAGCCCAAAAGCGACTCCGACAGGGCTTTGGATGCCTCAGAGCCTGTCAGGACCAGAGAGCTGCGTTGAGGAATGAGGATTACTGCAGGATTTAGCTTACAGTATTATAGAAGGGCTCATGTGAAAACCTGGGTTTACTCATGAAGTATCTTGATCATGACTCATTTTTGCAGGAAGATGTTAAGATGGACTAAGTCTGGAATTTTTTGCCGATAACAATTAGGTGTTAGCTTGCCATATGCTGCATTCTGCTCAAGTTTCCAGGTCCCTCTGCGTATGTGCAATTCCCACTAAGACAGATTTTTTTTCCTCCTACGTATAGCTATAAATACTGCAGTAAAAATGGGTCTGCAGTTTCCCACAAATATGTGTTAGAATGGTTTTGGATTTGCTTAGCTAATTGCTACAGGGAATGTCACCGAGCAGACCCTTTGCCAAAGCTGACTAATGATTCTTTGTACAGTGTTGGTGGACATGTTATCTGGTTTGTTTCTGTCTAATTACCACAGACAGAAACTTAACGCCAATTAAGAGAATTATAGTAAGTTAAAATGTCGTCTCACGCCGTGCTAGGAATCGCCAATAACACAACAGAGAGGGATGTTTTTAAATGCCACCCCAAATCCACTTCCCTTATAAGCACACATATCTCACAGAGCCTGTGATAGTTGATCATGGCGTTTCTTCTCTTCCCCATCAACTTCTCCTTTGATCGTTTTTGAACATAAGACTGTTTGCCGTCATCCTTACGGCAGCTGGAAAGATCCCTCCAGGGACCCCAATCCAAAGAAAATACTACAGCATGTGTCTGAGCACAGCAAACATGTAGCAGAAGAACAGCTTCTATTTACCAAAGCACTTCCCATATATGGTAGGCAGACTGCCTTTGGAATCCTATTCGGTGGTGCCTTTGAGCCCCAGCCCAGGGCCGAGCACCTCCCACAAGATCCAGTGCAGAACCCGCCTCTCTGCCTCCCCTCCCTTCTGTGTGCCCCTGCAGGCATTGCAGAGTGCCCATTTCATGCCCCTGACTGACAGCAGGAAGAAAGTCAACCTGGAATATGCACAGCTGGTGCAGACACTGGACGAGATGGTGCGCAAGATCTTCAGCGAGTGGAGCCAGAGCCTGAACAGGAAGAGCCTGAAGAGACTGGACCAACCACTCATGGTCCGCTGCAAGGAGATGGCTGGAATGCTGGACGTCAACTTTGACAAGTCCGTAATCCCCGCCATGTACCAACACACACAAACACATAATCCATACCATACACACTGTATGCTACACACTGCCTTTTAAACACATTTTACGTCAGTTTGAAGCTGGCGCACGCAGCCTGTCGGGGGTCGGTGCATCCTGGAGCCACCACGAGTGACTCTTCTGTGTCCCAGGGACCTACTGGAGATGTTCAATGAGATCCACTACTGGCAGTGGCTACAGTTTGAGGCCCCCCACTATGTGTTGGATGTGTACCAACACCGGGAAGAGCTGCGCACGCTGCGGGAGAGCGTCCGGCTTGTGGTACGCGAGTACAACAGGTGGGCAGCCGTGCCACACTCGCATACTTTAAGGCTCATCCTGCCACCGGGCATGTGCCATGCTCAGGGCGGCTGGCTGGCTTTCCATCGGCAGGATCATCAGCAAGCTCTCCGAGGATGAGCTGGCTCTGTTCCGGGAGCGCATCCGCATCCTGGACAGGAAGTTTCAGCCCGGTCTCTCTACACTCATGTGGTCATCCAAAGGGGCGTCCGGCTTTTTCATCAGTGACTGCTGCCTGTACACGAGCAAGGTGAGAGCAGCTAGACACTGGGTATGCTGGGTAAACTGTAAGTCACCGCGGCATACTTTGTAAGGACGCTTTGTGGGGTCAGCAGGGCTGTGGGTGCTTTAATTAAGTGTAAGTAATTACATAATAATTACAAACCATGAAGAAAAGTAACCTGCTCTACATTATTTGGTATAATCTCCAGTGAATTACAGTCAGCAGTTTTATTTAGTCATGTGACCTGCAGGTATACCTTAGGTTTATCCATGAGGATTGTGGGAAATATACTATTGTGCAAGTGTTCATACATTTCCATACACCGACATGATATGTTTCACAGAACATTCATTTGCTGTATCATCCAGAATCCCTGCCTATCAAAAAGTATTTCTTAAAGAAGTGCACATGAAGTCAGTACAATAAAGAGGAGATGGTCTCTGTGAAATGGAATAAAAAAATATAAGGAGACTGTGTTCTTCTGAATATTTTGAAAATTTTAAACAAAATAGCAAGATTGAGCAGATGCAGGGAAAGCATACTAACAGGCAATCCTGAAAAATATACAGTACCAGGAAAAAGTACTCCTGAGATAAAAAATGAATACGAATAAAAAAAACCTTAAAGCTTGCAGCCAAGGATATAAGTAACATGTGGACACAGCTTGAGAATGACAGTTCAAGGTTCACAGCATGCGCTAACATTTGTTTCCAGGTATTGCAACCGTTTCCTCCTGGGTATATAAATCAAGTTTGTTTCTAGTCAGTGTCCAGATCAATCAAGTCAAACCCAGGAGCTCGTAGGCTTTCACATGTCGGAAAATCTTTACGGGATCTAAAGTGCCTCAAAGAGACCCGCCTGCCTCCGCAATCTCCAAGGCCCATTTGATGAGGCAGGGCCTCACGCAGAGAAATTATGAAGATGGAGATAATGGGGCTCAGCTGGGAAATGGTGGGGGGGGGGGGGGGTGTAAGCTCGGCAGGTCCAGGACAGATACGGTCAGGCCGGGCGCCACGTGTCTCCTCAGTGCAGGCTGCCCCATTCTCATGGAGCGGCCTTGTTTACAAGACGCACTCACTGAGAAATGCAGCCTCGGATTACCCGAGACCGAGAAGAGAATAAACACGGGCTCCTAGCTGCGAGGATTTGAAAAAGGGCCCTCCACATCCTCTCTCTGTATCTCGCTGTGTTTACCCCCCCCCCACCCTCGCCATCGTGTTTGGCACTCTTCCCATGCACCCCCCACACACGTCCTCTCCTACCCTCCCCCAGGTGCAGCTCATCATGGAGGAGTATAGCGCTGCGACCCTGAGCATGGCGTGCGCCTGTCAGAGGATGCGGGAGCTGCTGCTGGTGTGTCTGGACGGGAGGACGGTGTACGGGGAGCTGGATTTCTCAGCCCAGCAGCACAGTCACCAGCAGGCCCAGCTGCAGAGGCTCTGCAACACTCACGACAGCGTCGTGTCCATCTTGGGCCGCTTGCATAAGACCTTCTGCAATGATGGACCTGAGGTCTGTGTGTGTCAGTGTGTGCGGGTTACCTGTATATCACGCTGTGGGGACCAAACGTTCCCAAAATGTGATAAAAAAAAAAACCTGTTATTCATTTTATGGTTGGGTAGGGGTTAAGGTTGTCATTGTTGGGATTCAGGTTATGCCCATAGAAATGAATGGGCGGTCCCCATAAAGATTGTGGATTGTGGAAGTGTGTGTGTGATAGAGAGAGAGACAGAGACAGAGAGAGAGAGAGAGAAGAATTTCATATGTATCCGTTTGTATATTTTTGCTTGTATGTGTATGCATGTGATGTTGCAGTGATTCCATGTCTAGTATGTGTCACATTGTCTAGGTGCAGTTTGAATGTTCTCCCCATGTTATGCACGTCTCCGTCAGGTTTCTTCCCACAGACCAAAGACATTAACTGGTGTAGGAGAATTGGCATCTCTAAAATGTCCATGGTGTGTATGCGCTCTCGAGGTATTGGCTCCCTGTCCAGAGCGTTTCCCCGCCTTGTGCCCTATGCTGCCTGGGGTTGGCCCCTGGCCCCCGGCCCCTGGCCCAGAACCCTGCACTGCATGAGCAGTTGGACGCTAGATTGACAGACAAATGAATGTGTCTGTGTGTGTATTTTGGGGCCAGTTATCGGGTGATATAAAATCAGAACAGAAGCTGCTAAAGACACAGGGTTATAAAAACTCATTTATTACAAAAGTGGAACATTAACTTAAGACTGTAGCACTTTAAAAATAACGTTCTCAAGCAGACGGGACAGTGAAAAAAAAGAGAGAGGAACTAAGGTCAGATATCAGAAGGAGTAAAAGCGGCAGTTCCGATCTCAGCCTCTCCTTTCTCTTTCGCTCCGCCTGGCTGGCTCTTTATCTCTCTCCAAGTCCACTTAGTGTGAGCCAGCTGGGTGGCATCAAAGTCCTGCTTCTGGAGGCCCTTTACTCACTGGGGGCAACAGTATGGAGGAGATCTGCCCACATTATGGAAGAGGGTTAAGACCAACTTTGGTCAGCAGGCTGGAGTGAGATTTTATAATTTTAGTCTGCAAATGCATTTATATGTATGTAACAGTTTTATTACCTTGTAAGCAGTCTGTAGGGTTTGCAAACTGCCCCAATGCTTTTGATGTAGCTAATTTTAGGTTTATAATGGAATAATATTGATTTGCCGTAAGAGTTCTTGCATAAGTACGAGAGTCTGAAAGCATGAGTGTCACACCAGACGCATGAGAGCTGGCAGCCCTATAAGAATGTAAGTGTGACGTTTGCAAGCGTGTGCGCACTCCCCAGGTCCAGCAGCACTGGGTCTCCTACACAGAGAAGATGGACCTCATGGTGGAGAACGCGCTACGCTTCAATGTCAAAAAGTCCCTGCAGGAGCTCTCTAAGGCCATCAATGGTGACAGCAAGATGATGCCCAGCCCCCTGTTCAAGGTGCAAGTGGTGCTGCTGCAGGAGTCGGCCGGCTCCCTCTCGCAGGTGACACTCGAGCAGCAGACATGACGCATGCATTCCCGTGCATTCACACGAGGCCTTGGCTTTGGTGAACACCATCGACGCTGCATGAAGCGGCCATATGGGTTTGCAACCAGGAAAGAAAATAGAACGGAACTGTTTGTTCTTGTCCTACTTACATGTTCCTTCCTTCCCCTTAATTTGATTGATGTGTTTATTGTGAGCAGAGGTTTGAGGATTATAAAACTGATATAAATTCTTTGCCATTTGTGTACTTTAGGGAGACACGGTGCATCTAGTTTTCTCTTGTTTATGAAATCGAGTGCCGTGCTGGACGAAGGTCGCTGCCTTTTTTCCTGTCAAAAGCGCTGCATATTCACTGCTTATTAGACAGAGACATTTCAGACTGCTTTTTATTTGAAAGGATCTGTAAGTTGACGTGTCGTGTGCGTGCGGACCCGCTGGATAGTTCTGTGTGTGCATGTTGTCGCCGTGCAGGTAGAGTTCTCTCCCACGCTGCAGAAGCTGGCACACATAGTGACCAGCGTCAGCAGTCAGCTCATCAGCGCAGTCTCTGTGTTCAAGCGCCTGCCTGACCTGCTAACTCACCAGCGCTCTCAAAAGGAGCCAATCCACATCCTCATTGGTCTGTCTGTTCCTCTGCTCCACTTCTACACCCTCATCTCTCTCTCTATGTCGCTGCTCTTCCTTCACCTTCATTGGTTTCTCTATAACTGTTCTGCAGGCCTATACCATCATTGGTCTATCTGCTCCTTTGCTCCTGTTTTATACTCGTTCGCTGATTCTCATTCTCCTCCTACATCCTCATCACTCTATCCATTCATCTGCTCCGCCTCCATCCTCTTCAGTCTACCCATTCATCTGCTCCTCCTCCATTCTCTTCAGTCTACCCATTCCTGTGCTCCTCCTCCTACATCTTTATCGGTCTTTCTGTGTCTCTACTCCAGCTATATCTCCCTTAGTTTGTCTGTGCTCCTCCATACATCTCTCCTACCTTCCTATTTTGCCACTGTTGTCCTACATCTCCTCACACCTGATCCTCCTGTTCAGTTATTGTCATCCTACTCAGCACATGTGGGCAAATGCGTCTCATGGTTCCTGTATTCCTGCAGGTTTTGTCAGTCAAACACTAAAAATACAGCCAACCAGTTCCTATGAAAACATCCAATCTGCCATCTTTCTTATTGAGTAGGTTGCAGACACCAGAGGATGTGCTGGAGAAAGGTGACGAGTTTTGTTCTCTTCTCTGTCCCGTCTGTGACCTCAGAACAAGATGAGGAAATCTGTAAGATTCAGTCCTCCATTGCAGCGGGTTTAGCTGCCAACACTGCACATCTGCACACCTACCTGAAGACTTGGGATAAGTACCGAGAGATCTGGGAGATCAACAAGGACCACTTCATCCGCCGCTATCAGCGCCTCAATCCCCCCGTGTCATCCTTTGACGCCGACATTGCCAGGTGACTAGCCACCATGGGATTAAACACTCGAGTCGAACCCATAATTCACCTCGCCAGTGTGGCTTGTGTGCAGTAGTTGTGGATCCAAACCTGCTTCTTAGAAGTTGCAATTCAATGAGAGGCAGACAGTTCGGATCCCGTTGGGGGGATGAGATGCATGACAGGTGAGATAAAAAGAGACGAGTGTGGGGTGTCGATGATGCGCAGGTATACGGAGGTGGCGAACAATGTGCAGAAGGAGGAGACGCTGCTGAGTGTGCAGTTCGTGCTGATGGACTGCTCCCTGCTCAAGTTCTCGCTGCTGCAGCACTGCAACGAGTGGCAGGCCAAGTTCACCCAGCTGCTCAGGCAGATGGCCTGCGGACGCCTGCGCCAGCTGCGCGCCTACCTGCAGGACAGCGCCCATAGGTAGGTCTCACTCTGTACTGCGTTCTGGGAGTGTGCGTGTTACTGCGTGTCACGTACTGAATATGAGTATATTATACTCTATGAATGTCTGTCACATACTGACTGTCAGTGTGTTATACACTATGCGTGTGTGTGTTATATACTGTGCATGTGTGTTTCAGAGTGTCTGTTGCTTGTCTGTGTTGCTTCCAGGCTGAGCCAGCCCCCTCAGAGTCTGACAGAGCTGGAGAAAAGCTTGAAACTGCTGGAGATTCTGCAAGGAGACCTGGCCAAGACTGAGAGCCAGATCCTCCCCATCCACGAGCAGTTTGCCATCCTGGAAAAGTATGAAGTCACTGTGGACCAGGATGTGAGTCACAGTGGCGCACAAACACATGCGCATGCAAAGTCACGCGTCAGGATCACAGCAAGCAGGACCCTGGAGTGTTCAGCTTCCGCTTCCTCTTACAGGATCAGGAGATGCTCGAAGCCCTGAATGGACAGTGGGTTTGGTTCCAGCAGGTCCTGACTGACAGTGACCTCATGCTGAAGGAACATAAGGAAAGGTTCAAAAGTGGCCTTATCTTCTCAGCGGAGGAGTTTAAGAAGAAGATGCAGGCCATCACCCTGGACTTTAATTCCACAGGTGCCCTATAATGCAGCACAGTCACATGGTGACAGGCAATACAGATCCTGCTGTCCGCTTGCTTGTGGAACAGACACATAGAAAAACACACAAACCAGCAATTACTGTTTGTGCACACGCTGCAGCCCATCCTGACATACATGCATGTACACAGCGGTGCAGGAGGCGCAGAGCTGCGGGGAGCCGCATCAGCACCGGCCTTGTGCCGGTGCTTAGAGACTAGGGGGCCGTGTCGTGTCCCCCAGAGCTCACTGATCCTGTGCCTGGGCTCCCAGATCTATGCCTGCGCTTTGGTATTATAGTGATTAACGTTGTAGGGATGCAGAGAAGCGTGCTGGCTCGGCCTGCGGAGCTCTCACTACACAGGCGCGGGACTGGGGCTTTGAATGCCTGTGGGTTCGCAGCTTCACCCTGTGTTGTGTGGGTGTTTTCTGGGTACTCCGGTTCCCTGCTCCAGTACAAAGCCATGCAGTTAGGCAAACTGGCATCTCTGCATCGGCCATAGTGTGCGTGGGAGTACGTGAGTGCTGTGCCATGCACTGGCATCCCCTTGCGGGCGTCCCCCTGCCCCGTGCAGCCTGGCACCAAGCTCCAGGCCCATTGTACTGGATAAGAGGTTGGAACATGGATGGTTTATTCTGATGGTGTTTATGAAACTGTCAGCACCAGCTGTCGCCCCAACGCAGGGATGCCTATAGAAGACTGTTGTGCAGAGCTGTCTCACCTTAGCACACCCGTCCCTTTGCACGACCACAAATATTTACCTCTTGCACTACTCTGGTGGTGGTGTTTTTTTCAGTTAGCTTCGGAAATGAGATTGAAAACGCTCCCGTTTTCCTAACCTCGCAACACGAAACAAAGACATGCTGCGCCAAAACATTTCAAAGAGGACAAACCTCCTGTCCTACTTTCTTCTCTCTCCTCTCCTCCCACCATTCGCTCTACTCGCTCGCTCCCTCTCTCTCTCTCCCCTCTATTTTTCTCTCAGTGTCACTTTGTTCCCGCGAACAGCGGGGTACAGGCTGTCTTCATGACGCTGAAATCAAATTATTATAATTTTTTTTCCTGTGGTTCGTACGCTCGCATCTAAACACGTCTGAAGATTTATGATTGTACAGTCTTAATATCGAGTTTCAGGCCAGAGCAGTCGCTGATTTGAAAAGGCCAGAAGGCGGTCGACCGGAATAATAAATATGTTTTTTTGTCTGATGAAGGGCATGATAAGCTGAAGCATACCTGCGTCAAGCTCCTTGGAGGTACAGAACACGTGTTTATTACCGTCACTGTCAAACCGCCCACGAGCCACGCTTGGGTCCATACCCCCTGTCCTCCGTACC